AGGCACATTTAAAATATATATTACAGACCCTGACTGATATTTTTAAAATGTTAGACCCAGATATAAACCATGTCCAGAGAACATAGAACTCCGAGTCGGAAACATTCCTTCAGATAAAGGCATTAAGTGGACAAAAAAGAAAATAGATTACTATATCAACTCAACCTTTTCAGAGCTCAAGCTTTCCTGAGTCCTACCAAAAGACGGCGCCCAGTGAAGGAGGACGAGTCCCTTTGCAACAGGTACCTGCGCACTCAAACCCGTCCCTCCCGAGGCTCCCCAGGTCCTCCGCGTCGGCCCCCTGCGCCTCCAACCCGCCCTTTTCCTCCAGGTAGCACTGACGATGTCATCCGCGAGAATCAGAAGCCCTATCCTACTCGTCCGCCAGAGGAGCTCCTAGCCCGAACCCGGCAGCTGAGAGGGAAAGCGGCCAGGGATGAGAATGACAGCCTCAAGTTGGGCACAACCAAAGTTCTCAGTGACACCTTCTGTGTTGCCTCCGAAGGTCGGAGCGCGGAGATGCTCCTGACGGAATACAGACCTCCAGCTGACAGCCACATTATGGTGCTTCCGCGTCCAAGGTTAGAGCGACGTAGTTCCATGCCGGATTTGAGGGATTTTCGTTGTGTTAGTTCCGCTGTTGTTTACGAGACAATTGCCACATTAGGTCGTCTAGGGGAGGCACGGGGATTGCTTGTGGTGCCGCCGAGGGAAAATGGCCCAAGCACCATTTCCCAAGTCGCTGTCCCAACACCAGATATTATGCTGGAAAAACAGAACAACGATAAAGCACAGACAACCCCGCAACAATGGGCTCGAAAGATGAATAAGTTTATCCATGAGGAAACCCAGGCAGTGTTACAAGCCAGCCCTCTTCTCGAAGGCCTCTCACCAAGTGGTCAAAGTGGAGCAACAAAGGGCAGGCGGACACAACGAAAAGAATGGATATCTAAGCATACCTCTGTCAAAACTTTACAGAAGAAAATTTTACCGAAGTCAGTGACAGATTCTTCTTCTCAGACAGATACCATCAGACCTATTTCCGCTGTACACCATCGCCGTAACTCTATTGGCAGCGAAGGTGCTGAATCAGTGTATTATGATAGCTTGGAGGAGGAGGACAGCAGAAGTGCTAGTTACAAGGCTGGCCATCAAGCATTTTATGTGCCAATAACTAGTGAAGCAGAAGTGGCCATCAACGCTGGACCCACACTGCCTGCCAGACTGTCAGCCCGGTTGGAGGAGAGGCGAGCGTCCACTAGACGCCATTCGAGGTCCGGTTCCCTTGGGGTCAGCAGCCTCGCCCTCACTGGCAAGCGAGTCCATCTCATAGATGAAGCAAAGATGGCTCAAATGATTGCAAGTGGGGAGGATACTAACGGATTTGAAGTACCTGAAAGTTTGCTTGAAACCAACGATGATATAGGGGCAGAAAGTGATTCGGACATCTTAGACAGTCCAAAAGTGAAAAATATGAAGAAGGACACATTAGTGTCTTGTTCCTCTGAGCAAGACACTGATACCTCACAGTCGGACATTGTACAGCTTTCCTCAACAAAGAATTCATCACAGCGAGGATCCTCAGAAGAACCACCAAAGGCCCATGGTGACCATGTCGTTCCAGAAACGGTAAATTCTCAGCCTATGACAGACACTTACACATCATTTTCTGATCATTCCAACTCAGACTCTTCTACCGAACCCTTAGAAGATATGCAGACAAAAAAGACTCCTGAGAAATCTGAGCAAAGTACTGCCGAACTGACTGCAGACCGGGTGAATGGTGAGCCTTTTAGCAACAGTGAACCAGAGTTTAATAATGATCAGGATGACAGTGGGAAGGAGACTGTCCCCCAAAGCAGCGAACAAAATGAAAACATCAAGATACAGGTGACTAATGAAAATGGCGAGGATGTGGATCCCAACACAGACACTGAAGTAAATTCGCCAGATCTTCCAAATGGCGATACAAACAATCCTATTAGTGAGGAAAAACACACTTTAAATGACAATAATCCTGACACAGAAATATCTGATCATTATGAATCAGATACTTTTCAATCAGGTTCCATGGATAACAGCATCAATGAATACATTTCTCCCAGAGATGTTGTGGAAAATCATAATCCGTCTATCCAGGAATCTGTTGACCTTCTTAGTGCTAGCGACAGTATAGAGGAAGTCAGTGAGAATCTTGTAAGTGAGACACTAGATGACGAAGCCATTCACAGCAATAGCAATGATATCCAAGAAGACTTAAGCAGTTCTTCAGTACAAGAACAATATGAAATAATCGGCTTTACTTCCAATGGAAAAGAAATGCTACTGGAAAGTGGATTCATCGACTGTGATGACCCAAGTTTGCTGCCAGAACCTCTCAGCATCAACTGCGATGAGATATCTCCAACACTCATTCAGACGAGCAGAGGTGAGGTGAACGATGCGGAAGCAAACGAAGAACTAGCTGAAAAAGATTTGAATTTGCAGTTACATAACCAGTCAGTTCAGCAGACATGTCCTACTTCTACCCTAGAAAAGGAAGAGACAGAAAATGAAACTGCAGAAGCAGAAACAAGTGAAATTACAGTAAAAGCTGATGGTGATGCAGAAGTGCCAAATACGGACATGACCAATTATTTTACAAATGAGAGTGAACTTCAAACATCAGATAATACTCAAGAAGATGCAAGGCAAAGCGTAACTGAAAATGTGAATGACGTTAATGTGGAAGAAACTAAGAAGGAAAACGCAGAAAACACCTTAGACGAAAGTGAACCACCAGACACCGAGATAGACAATGAAGAGTTGAGCGATGGCACAGATTCCTGGGATCGCGTGACTGTAGTGAGAGTATCTTCAGGCAGCACATCGGAGAGCAGGAATGACACTCCAGATATTGACAACGAAGGTACAGACACCTTGCAATCGTCTGCCGAGGAAGGCTCTAGGAGCAATGTCTGTCAGGAACCCCCATTAAGCCCTCAGGACCTTACAGCAGATGCCTTTAGTGCAACAGATGCAAGTCTTTTGGATGAAATTTTCCGCAACGCAAGTCCCCATGATGGCAACTGCTCTCCTGTGGACGAGAGCAGCTCCGGTCTCTCGACCATCGAAGAGGACGACGACGAGCACCTGGAATATGCCCAAGACGATGATCCGAACCCACTTCTTGAGGACACTGTGGTTGGGGAACAATCTCCCCCAGCAGACACGAAACTACATGAGGAAGAAAACAGGAATGTGTCTACAGAGGAACTGCACAGGGAAGAGGACAAAAGTATTTTAGTAGAAAAGGAGGAAGCACTGCTCTTGAAAAATGAAGATGAAACAAATGAAGTGGAGAACAAAGATGAAATCGAAAAGGAAGAAAATTGTATTCTTTGTGGAGGTGAAATTATTGTAGCACATGATGATGAAACTCTAAACGATGAAGAAGATATTGTTACTGACGTAGCAGAAAGTTCTCTACTTATAGTGGATACAGAAACCCCAACTGGAATGGATGCAGCGGAATGCATGCCTGAAATGGAAAAAGAATATGCTCAGGGTGAGGATGTTATTGTAACTGATGGTTTTAAAGAAGTAAATGCAAATGAGAAGGAAGGGGATATAACAGACTTGGACGAAAATGCCAGTGGCAATACAGCTGATGAATTAAAGGATACAAGTGTAACTGAGGGAGAAGCAGATACAAATACGACAAAAAATAATGAAGAGGTAACTTTAGATGAGCATGAAGCTAATATACACAGAGTTGAAGAAAAGTCTGATGTGGCTGAAAAAGTGTTAGGTATAGCCGAGACTGATGAAAAGGCAGATTTATCCTTGGCTGAGGAAGGAGTAGACTTAAGTGTGGTAGAAGTTGAACACGAAACATCTGTCGCTGAGGAAGAGGAAGACATAGTTGAAAACGAAAAAGAAGACATCGATGAAACCGTGGAGAAGGCAGAGTTCATCTTAGCTGAGGAAAAAACAGATATAAGTGTGGTTGAAGAAAAGGTATCTTTAGCTGAAGAGGGAGAAAATAAAGATAGGACGGAAGTTATTATGGCTGAGAAAGGAACAGATATAACTGTTACTGAGGAAAATGAAAATATTATTGTGTCTGATGGACTGGCAGATGTAAATGGGATCGAAGGAAGCCTAACTAAGACTGAGGAGGTAGAAGAAGTAACCGAAGATAAACCAAATTCATGTGCGCCAGAAGATCGAACAAATACAGCGGCGGAAGAATTAGATATCATTGTAGCTGAAGAAGAAGCACCTGTGGTCGAGGAAGATGCTGAAGTATCTATCTGTGAGGAGAAAGTCGATGAAGCTAAGGAGGAATTAAAAATTGATGACGAAGTAGAAGAAACTGAAATTATCACTGAAGAAGATATAACTGTGGCTGAAGCTGTGGTAAATTTTGCTGGGGATAAAGGAGAGGTTTCACAAGCAGAAGATGAAGCCGGAGTAACCATAATGGAGGAAGTGACAGAAGTTTCAGTGGCTGAGGACATGATACAAGTAACAGAAGAAACTCCAGTACCCGAGAAAGAGGCAGAGTTAACAATAGACGAGGAAGTAGCAAATGTTCTTTTGAGTGAGGGAGGAGAAGAAAGAGTAATTGAAGAAAATAATGGCAAAGATTCCGAAATAAATGAGGCCGAAGAAGTGGGAGTTACTCTGACAGAACAGGAGGCAGAAGCTTCAGTGATGGAGAAAGGCACAGATGGAGTAGCAAATGTTTTTATGGCTGGGGAAAGGGAGGAAGAGGAAATAACTATGGCTGACGAAGTAACGGATGTTTTGATGAACGAGGAAAATGAAGAGGAAATAACTATGGCTGATGAAGTAACGGATTTGATGAAAAAGGAAAATGAGGAGGAAATAAGTATGGCTGACGAAGTAACGGATCTTTTGGTGAAAAAGGAAAATGAAGAGGAAACAACTATGGCTGATGAAGTAACGGATGTTTTGATGAAAGAGGAACATGAGGAGGAGATAACTATGGCTGATGAAGTAACGGATGTTTTGATGAAAGAGGAACATGAGGAGATAACTATGGATGATGAAGTAACGGATCTTTTGATGAAAGGAGAAGAAGAGGAACAGGAAATAACTATGGCCAACGAAGTAGATGTTTTCATGGCAGAGGAAAACGAGGAAGAGGGAATAAGTCTGGCCGAGGAAATAACAGAGGCCACAGTAGACGAAGAAGAAATTAGCTTAACTGAGGCTGAGGAAGGTACAGATGCCATTGTGGCTGAAGAGGAGGCAGAAATTACTGTGACCGGAGAAAACCCTGCAATCGTAGTTGATGAAGAGGCAAATGAATTAGGAGAGCAATCTATCCCAATAGATGTGGAAGGCGACGATGCAACATTTTTTGAAGCCATCGGAGGAAATACTGAATGTAAAGAGAATGTAGAGGAGATAGAGCACAGTCACCCCTGTTTAGAGGGAGGTACTGAAGTCTTAACTACGGACGGTGCAGATCTTGGCGTAACAAAGGATATGCACGATGTCGATGAAGAAACGGTGACTGAGGAAATGCCAGAATCTATTTATGAAGAAGAAATTGACAAAGACAATGATGATGATACATTTTGTCTTTCAGTGGATAGACAAATCACCAATATTAAGGAGCCGCAAAACGATGAACTGGATCCAGATAAAGATATCGATGAAAGTCACGATGAGAGTATCGGCGATCTATTAGAAAACGACCATGACCTGATTGACAGAGACGAAGCATCCATAGCATCCCACCATGACAGCGATGGGGGCGAGTCTCTGCTGATGAGTGATGCCACGCTGGACACAACGGAGCCAGAGACCAAGGCGGAGTATGAGGAGATCTTGGGCAGTGTTCTAGAAACGGAAATCAAGGCAGAGTATGAGGAGCTTATAGGCAGCGAGAAGGAAACCAGTGATAAAGACATGTATGAGGACATGATAGACAGAGTGGAAAGCAGCATAGAAGAGAAGGTATATGTGACCGATAAGAAGGTATCAAGAAATTTTAATTCATTTTTAATGAAGTCGGGCGCAAGCAACGACATGAATCACACTAAAATTATGGAAAGTAGTGATATACAGCATGCGCAAGCAGCTTGGGAGAATGATGGCGAACTCAATGAAGGAAGTTCTAGTGATCACACCATCACACTAGGAAATCATGATGACAATGATGGACTCTCTGACAAAGAGGATTCCGCAGGAGCCCATGATGGTGACGAACAGGAGAGGAGTGGCAGTAATTGGGCAGCAAGCGTCAGCCAAGCTGGTGAGCAGACTGAATGCGAGGTAGGGTCGCTGAATGTCGATAGACAGGCTGAAGCCTGTGTTGATGCCCCTTCGAGTGCTTCCTCTGATGCCTCTCCTCGGGAAAGGAGCGAAGGAGACCACGGGGAGGCTGTGGCTGCTGCCAACTCGCCCTCATCAGATTCAGGTGTTGTAGAGATGGCAGGGAAGACTGCACACTCGCCTTCAGATGCTTCTGTAGAGGAAGTGGTTGCTGAAGATCACAATCCTCGCGGCCGTGACGCTCAGGATTCTTCCCGTAGTGAAGAATCTGTTCGCAGTGCACCGCCCAATCGAAGGACTTCCAGTAAGCAGGCCAAGGATCGAGCCAACCGAATCACCAGTGGGCGCCGCCGCTCCTCTTCTGGCTGTGGTCGTGCTTCTCTGGATGGTGGTGACGTCACGACCCTGCACGGCTGGACAACATTCACAGCACCTGGAGATAATTCTGACAATGATAGCTCAAAGCCACGAAGACGTCACTGGGAAGCTCCTACGAGCGACAGTTTCCAGAATCTCCCACCACAAGTGGACAGCGATGGAGCCTCCCTGAGCAGACACCGAATGGTCCAAGAATACCTGGACAGTCTTCAAAACCACCAAATATCCAAGGACGGGTCACCTCGTTGCACAGTGGGAAGCGGTCCCCACTCAATCAACGATTTTCCGACAGACAACGTGAGTGAATTGGACACCTCAGACTCTGGGGACATGAGTTACTCAGAACGGCTGCTGCGTGTCCTTGAGAGCCGTAGATCCCGGCGTCATCGCCCTCGCTCTTCCAACATCGACGGGGAGGACACGCCTACTCGGTATCGACCCTCTGCCCTCAGTGCCCTGGACGTCTTTCTAACAACGTTGTCGCGGTACCGAGGGGGGCAGCAGTTTGAAGGCGACCCTCCTCGGGATCCGACCCCTCCACCTCTCCCTCAGGATAGCGAGGACAACGTGACGGTGCAAGTGAAAACTGGGCCGCGGCAGCACGATGTCCGCGTCAGCTCAAGACGCCAGGTGCGCCTCGTGGTCAACGTGGGAAACCCCACAAGAGCCTCCGACTCGGGCTGTGTGGCTGACTCGTCGCAATCGGAACGTGAGTCACCGATCATCCCTACTACTGGTTTAAAACTTGCTATTATCAGGTTTTAGGGAGAAATGTTAGGCTTTATTTGAATGTATGCGCGGTCAAAGGTACGCGCAGACCAGTTGCCCTTA